TCATTGATGGAAAAAATCGTTTATGTTCATACGAATTTTGCATTATTTTCCAGTGCGCTTTATAGTGCTTTATGATTCTAAGTGGTTTTGGATATTGCAGTTTTAAAAGTACTTGTTTGTTAATAATTTGTTTGCATGCCTCAATCAGGTTCAAGTGACATTAACTTCAGTGCATCTGAAGCCATTTCTCAATCGTTTTATGTTAATACAATATAAGTTTCTCCGGGATCCACTATGTACTGCACACCGGATTGTGACCCTTCTTTTAAAGCGCGTGTTGGTAAGCTTTTCAATAACTTGGATGATGGTATGAGTTTTTATAATCAATATGCAAAGATATTTGGTCTGATATTCATTTTTGCGTTGGAATGATTGACCATAAACCTCAATTGTTTCAGCAGTTTGTAGATGCCATTAAGGTGCAGAAAGAATTATTGTCTACCTCTCAAGGAAATAGTGCATCAGGATCTACAAAAAATGATGTTATCAAAGCCTTTTATGGGTCATGTATTCCTACTGAAGTTAGCGTGCATTCACCGCAGCAGGCTCGAAATAAGGGTTGCGGTAAGAGGATTAAAGGAGGCAAGGAGAAGGCAATTGAAGTGAGCTAGAAGACCAAAAGACTATGTAGAAAATCTAATAAAAAAGGTATCATGATAGTCGAAATTGTGCTTTGAACTCGGAGGAATGATTATTCTTTTGCATTCATTTTCACAACTTGGCCTTTGAGTTTGGAGCAATGTTGCTTCATTTCTATTTTTTTTTACGAATTATAATTTGAACTTGTACAAATGAATATTCTTTTCAATTTTTTGTTGTGTGCTTTGGTTTTTCATTATGTAATATCATAAATTACTACCGATTGAGAATTATGTACGTAGTTGTCATTTGTGAATATAACAATTGCATTGTTATCACCAAATTGTGCACTTTTTTTAAACCAAAGTCTGCGATCTATAAATTACTAGTGTGTGAATACTTTATTGCATTGTTATTAATAAATTGTGTATGTATTGAAACCAAACTGTGCGCAATTTAAATCACTGAATCTTTGATTGGAAATTCCATACAATAATTTAAAATTACATTTATAATATTTGATTTAGAAAAATATTTATTGAATTCGTACCACCGAATCGTGCAGTTTGATTAATTTACTTAGCTCGCCATTAATGAATAAATATACATGAAATGTTATTCATGAAATAGTTCGGGTGCCTACCAAAAACTACATTGTACTAAGAAAATTGTACATTTTAAAAAAACAAAAAATAAACATGACAAACTTTCTTCTTCCGTTACTAACTTCCTCTGTCTCTTCACTCTTCTTCCGTTACCGCTTGGACCTGAAAATCATCATCACTTTCTTCTTCCATTACTAATTTCCTCTGTCTCTTCACTCTACTTATGTTCGGGTTTCACGCTCATGAGACGCACTTGATCTTTTTCCCAGCCTTGTATAGCAACTTGCATTCTTGTCTCCCTCTTTCCTAAAATTTGTATTATACATTACACCTTTATAAGTAATTCAAGCATTCATATACAGCATAAAACATACGTATATGATAATGCACTTTATACTTGCACACATTTCTAACCTCTATGATTGTCAATACACACCCGTTAAACTTCACTTTAAAGAACAAAAAAGTGCACTTTCACCAATAATACACAAAAAACACGCATTGACTCATTCATGAAGTAAAATGCTCTTTATGAACTAACAAATGCACTTGCATACATTTCTAACAACATCTACGATTTTTGAAATCCACCACTTCAATATAACTTTAACCACCACCATATGCACTTTCACAACTAATACCCAATAACTGCACTTTGAATCCATCATGAATTAAAAATTTAGTTTACTAAACCAGATGCACATTCAATGCTTACGAATTGCACAATGCTAATATTCACTTTTAACTTGAAATATATGCACATTTCAACAATTGAGCATATAAAATAGTTGAAATTCGTACTTCACTTTTAACTTGCAATATATATATATGCACAATTCACGATTAACCATATGCACTTTTAACTTAGGAATTGCACAATTCTTAAAAATAGTTGACTTTTCACTTTGAATCCATCATGAATTAAAAATTTAGTTTACTAAACCAGATGCACATTCAATACTTACGAATTGCACAATGCTTAATATTCACTTTTAACTTGAAATATATGCACAATTCAACAATTGAGCATATAAAATAGTTGAAATTTCATTTTCAAAAAAAAAATTGTTGAAATTTGTACTTCACTTTTACCTTGAAATATTTGCATAATTCACTATTAACCAGATTCACTTTTAACTGACGAAGTGCACAATTCACTTTTAACTTTTAACTTACGAATTCCACTATTAACCAGATGCATTTTAACTACAATGGCCTACCTTGAACATGCATTCAATCAATAACCCAAACAAATAAACCCAAACACATATTTACACAGTGACCTAAGCAATATTCGTACCTGTAGCACTCTTCCCGCTTCCCGACGCTTCGTCTTGCTCGTTCGTCGCTGACATCGCTACTAGAAGCCTTCTTAGGGTTTCGCCTGTCATCGATGTTGTTTGCTTCTTGCGTCCGTCGAGCTCTGGCTTCAGTAGAAGTCTGCACAAGGAAGTTCTCTTGGTTCAAAAATACCGGCACATTAACCGGGATTTCTTTCCATTTAGAAAACAGGGCCCCCAATCGCCATAATTAATTGCTTCTTCCTTTTACAAAAGTGCCCTCTAGATGCACGTTTGGCCTTTTTAATTGCTGCACGGACGCCTCACGTGGCTTTTTTAATCGGCCAAACATGAATTCCCAGCCGCACGATTGTTAGAATGGAGGGTTCAAAATTGTTCTTTTTCGCTCTCCTAAGAAGGTGTTCTCACAGGAACTAATCCCTATATATATATATATATATATATATATATTAATCCACTTGAGTCTATTTCCCGTTCATGATCAAATCAGGGGCATCTTTGGAAACGCAATTAGGCTTTCGATTCTTACAATAGACTCTCGCGTATACGCAGAAGTTCATGAGTCTTTCTTTAGCTCTTACGAAGTATATCGTTACGTTCTAGATATTCTCTGAACCTAGATATTCTCAATTTCTCTCGCATGAGCCTAGACTCTAGAGACACAACACGGTTTTAATTTTCACTTTAAATAAGTTCATTAAGTTGTCTGCTCTATGTTTTGGGAGCTCACCCAGATACTGGACTGTGCTTGGTTAGTATGCTGATCTAAACCCATTTCTTCTAATATCAATATTGTACTCATTTACTGTACTCATTTCTTCACCTTTGTATTATTTATTAGTAAGCTCCATGTGTATAATTTTGAAAGTTTACCTCTTTTTTCTAATTCTTTGCAAAAAGAGATGTGTATTTCACACACAAGTATATGACCTTAGTAACATAGTCCAGTTCTTTCATTTTTCTCACTTAAAATTACTTTATAGTAAACTGTAAACCATTCATTTCATGTATCACACTATCACTTTAATTACAAAATGTAGTCTTCTTCTTTCTAATTGAACATTCGTTCTAATAGTTCAGGTAGTTCAGATTTTTACCAATGATATTTTGAGTCTTGAAGCATACTACATTTACCATTTACCAATGATATATTTGGGCAACTAAAGTAAATTCAGAATTATTCTTTTTGTTAGAACTCATAAGTCACTTTGCCAGAACACGCTCCACAGAGTTTTAAGTGAAAAAACATGCTGATAAAACTAAGACCTGGGATCTATATCATTTTCTAAACAAATATTTGCAAATAACCGTAAACCATTTGGGTAAGTTGGCAATGTTGATTTTATTTATGATTTAGCTAATCTTGGCCTATGATACTATTATAACACATTATATGTGAATGCATGGTAGTTAAAGGTAGTTAAAGGCATGACTTATGGGTATTCTGATGGGGTTGCAGATTGGTGTTGTGTGATTTTAAGTCTTCTATTTCGTTTTAAAAAAGACATCGCTTTCAAAGCTAATGTAAGTAAAGAATTAGTTATGGGTAAAGCTGAAAAGTACATTTCTAATGAGACATAGCCCTCCTTCCTCTTCAGATTTACACATACTCTTTGTTGAGGCCTAATGATAATGAACCATTCTTAATATTTGTATTCCCCAAATATAAGTTGAAACTTCTGCTCGGATGTATGTATGACCTTCTTGGGGAGTATAGTTACTGGCAAGATATGCATTGGAATGCAAGAGATAACATGTTTTGTCAGAATAAGCCTTAAAACATAAGTTATTCTCTCCAATGGGGACAGTTTATTTTAAAACTTCTTTATAGTGTCTTTGTAATGGCCATATCTTGCCATTCCTTTGTGAACTTTGAGTAGGGTATTCAAAAGGTTGCCCTACATTCCTCTTTTCACTAGCCAAGCAGTTAGAATGTAGTTGCTAACAAATCGGACTGAGGGAGTACTACTCTTAAAAAATTGACTATTAGTGTAGACTGTAGAGTCAATGTGTCTTCACATGTAGAAGAGTAGTTTCTGTGGTGATAAATTATGTGTGAGGTCTTCTTTGAAGAGAATGCAAATTGAACAAATTGGAATTGGATAATTGCACTGGTATGCGGCAAACTATGCACTACTTCTGCAACAAAAAGCTCCTTAGGGTGGGGTTTACGGGCAATGTATGAGAAGGTTAATGAACCTCTTTGATTATTTGGAAATTAAAATGCTTGTGTATGTTAGTCAACATGCTTAAAAGTGCATTTTTCTGTCTCTTTAGACTATGATTTGAAAACACTAAGATTAGAAGTAGTTAATAGATAATTAGATATAGTTTTTAATACATATTTCAATCAAGTTTTGTATTCCTAGACATCTTAATTTTAATTCTCTAATAATAATAGACGATGCAAACACAAAAATTAGTTTAAGGAATGAAAATAAAGATGTCCACCTGTACACTTTACTTCTTCTTATGGCTGTACTTGTACACTTCACTTTGTATTAAGGCTTAATTAAAAAAAGTGGAGCTCCTTCCTTGTATATACTTGAATTTTTTTATATTATTGTGTATGTGTATTTCAATTCAAGAATCAACAAAATAAAATTAAAAAGCCCGGAACCAGCCCGACCCGGTAAACCGCCGGGTGGCCCGGCCCGACCCGGAACCGCCATCCACCCGGGCCGGTTCCGATTCCCTTCTTCCCAAACAAAGGCCCGGCCGGGCTCAGGCCCGAACCGGAACCGGCCTGGCCCGGGTCCATCCCTACCAATGATAGTGACTATATATACACATTTATTATTACAAAACCAAACATATATTTTTGTGTTTAGTTACTGTCAAAGAGTTACTCTTTTATTGTTTATTTAGTTACTGCTATTGAACATGTTAAATATATAGACATCTTTCATTCAAACTTTCAAAGGCATCCATGTCGTTGAACATGTTAAATATTTAAACAGATGTTTTTTTAGAATCCAGCACCTCACAAACAAAAAACGTGGTGATGGTAGACCAAAACATAACCATGTCATAGTAAGGAAATGGCAGCTGAAATGTGGGGATGGACCCGGGCCGGGCCGGGCCGGTTCCGGTTATATATACGTTATGAATCCCAAACAGTAGAGTTATGAGGCCACATCATACGTGTTGTAAATGTGGGATTCAAAATACTTCTCGTAAGTCGGTCTATATATAAAACGTAGCAGCTCAAATTTGTCGAAGACAACTCCATAGATCTTTCTTATGCCTTGGACAACCATCTACAAATTTATGTCAAAAGTGAATGAGAATATAGTACAAAAGAATTTTTGAAAAACAAAAATCAATCGTACTAAGAATATCAAGTACCTGACTTGTGGCACTATCATCCGGCTTCGGCTCAAGGCTTCCAGTCTTGTAGTCAAACTTCACCTCTTCTTTTGTTGATATCAAGGTCATGCAAAAGTCGTCCAAAGAACAATGCAGATGATTCAAAATAAAGAAAATCTGCCAAACAATGAGAACATTAATTGCATTGGATTTCTAGTTTATAGTACACGAAAGCAATGAAATTATTAATCACTTCGGATCATTTCTGAAATTATTACCTCAGCCGGGTGTAAGATGACTGATGCATGAGCTTTCAGCAACATTGCAATGGGTACACATTCTAACTGGGAAAATGTAGGACGGAAAGGGCATCTTTGCATATATTCTCCCATAGCTAGACATTCAACATTAGTAAATGCACTATGAGTAAATGCACAAGAGACAACCCCTTTTAGGCATGGCATTTTCCCGTCAATCCATGAAGCTATGGATTTTAGAAGTATATCAACTTCTTGGCGGTTGAAGTCAAATTCACGAAGCTTATCATCATATACCTGAAAAAGATTAATACAAATTACAGAATATTTGATGATTCACATACAACCACTTTTCACAAACAACCCACAATGAAAGCAAAATACCTTAAACTCGTGTATGTGGGCTCTGCTTATTGTTGTTCTTTTGCGCTTCACCTTAACATTGGTAGAGCTAGAATCCGAAAAGCTCTCCTCCAGTTTTTTTGTTCTCAGTAGGTTTCAAAATGGAACTTCCATTGCTGCAAGAGGACTCCATTCTCTTTCTTTCTTCTTAATACGAAGGATATCTTAATGTACAAAATTGAGCACAAAAAACTAAAATTGTAATATATGTAATGAGACAATTGTGCAGTTAATGTTACCCATCAATTTTTTTTTTTTTTTTTTTTTTACCCCGGAAGGTCAACCACCAAAATCAGTGGGGTAAATGCCGGGGGACATTTACCATGTTTTATTACCAATCAGAACAAAATAATACAAATTCGGGGGGACCATACCTAACCCGAGGAAAGAAATAAAAAAATTTACAATCGTAACGAAGGAATGCCAAAAAAATCCATCCAAAAAGCCCTTTTAGCCATGATCGGAAGCTGACCAACATTAGACATAATGATTAATGTGTTTGTCCGGTTTTGGGCCAGATGATGTGCGGCCCAATTACCTTCACGTTTAATGTAGCCCATCCGCAGCTCCTTCCTAAAACACATATGTAGGCTTTCCTGAATCGCAGTTGCCCATCGACTTCCTTCTCTTCCCTCGAAATAGCTTAAGGCCAGAGATGAATCGGTTTCAACTTGAAAACGGGAGTAACCTGCCTCCACCGCCCAGTTCATAGCGAAGATAAGAGCATGAATCTCAGCTTCCAATGGAGATCGAGCAGTGATAGGAAAGCTAATCGCCACCTCCAGCTCGCCCTTCTGATTGCGCAAGACAGCACCTCCGTTGGCCATACCAGCTAGGTAACTAGCATCAACATTCAATTTCCAGTTTAGGGTAGGCTTATGCCAAGTAATGACTTGAGGTCTGTAGCCTTGAAGCTTATAATTTAAAGGAATTAAACCTTCCTCCCGCGAAATATTACCAAGAAATCTGATTTTGGAAGTTGATAGGCTAGTAACCCAGTTTTGAGAGTATAGTTTCACCTGAATAATCATGTTATCGATACTAGGGATATAGCCCCCATTTCCCCAAATTTGGTCCGCATAGGTCCTCCAAATAACCCAACATATAATTCCAGGGATATTTTGTTTGATAATATCATCCAAATTGGTTTTGCACACACCAGTTTTCCAATAGTGAGAAAGGCTGTAGTCCATACCTATAGGCTGATAAATTCTGAAGATACTCATAAAGTATTGCCACACTCCCTTAGCAATCTCACATTGATAAAAAAGATGCTTCATACTATCGCTATGCCTCTTGCACATAGGACATCTAGAAGGATTTAGCACAATCTGAAATCTGTTAAGGTTATCAGGGGTTGGCAGAATGCTCTTAGTGATTTTCCACTGTAATAACTTGATTTTAAGTTCAAGCTTTGACGACCAGATCTGCTCATAATTAGAGGCATTGAAGGCCAGTTCCCTAACCTCCTCAAATGCTGATTTAAAAGAGAACTGACCATCATCTTCTTCATTCCAGAGTAGTCTGCCAGAAGGATCCATGGAGCAAAGTTCAATACCTTGATCATTAGCAGAGCAAATCCTTCTCCAAATTGCAGAATCTGTAATTTTAGGTATCATGTTGCCATTTCTCTCATATTTAGTTCTCATAATCTGCACCCACAAAGAGTCACCAGTCTTCCATTTCCACCAGAGCTTAAGTGTAAATGCCTTCTCTAAATCAGTCAAGGATCTAATCCCAAGACCACCCTCCATAGTTGGAAAACAAAGTTTTGACCATTTGATCCAATGATACTTATTTTTTTCATTAGAAGAACCCCAAAAAAATGAGGCCATCTTACTGTTTAAGACCTTTATCACCTTTTTAGGCAAAGTGTCTACTGCCAAGACATGAAGGGGAATAGAATTTAACACGTACTTGATTAGGATAAGCCTCCCACCCTGAGATAAATTTTTTTGCCTCCATGGAGAGAGCTTCCTCTCAAATTGTTTAATGATATTGCTGCAGTATTCAAACCTGTTTATCCCCTTGTGCAGGTTTACCCCAAGGTATTTAATAGGCAAGGAAGTCAACCTCATGCCAAGAAGATCTTTAATCTTATTCTGCCTTGCAGGGGAGGTTTTTCCACATATGAATGAACTTTTGGAGAAATTTATAGCTTGTCCTGAAGCTTCCTGGTAATTATTCAAAAACTCTTTAAATCTTAACAAGGATCTTGAATCCCCATTTAGGAAAATTAAAAGGTCATCTGCATACCCTAAGTGAGAGATGGCTCTACCCTCATTGCCCATATAGTATGATTTGATTTTATTATTTTCCATTAACCATTTCAAACCTCTGGAGAATGCTTCTGAAGCTATAATAAACAAAAATGGGGATAGAGGATCACCCTGCTTTACTCCTCTATTGGGCTTAAAAAAACCATGTGGAGATCCATTGATAAGAACAGAAAGATATGTAGCTCTTAGATTATTTAAAATAATCATAACCAGATGTGATGAGAACCCAAATTTCAACAGAATATCTGATAAGAACTGCCAAGAAACTCGATCAAAAGCTTTGGCCATGTCAAGCTTCACAATCAGATTACTTCCCCTGATTTTTTTGTCTAAACAATGCACCATTTCTTGTGCTAATAGAACCTGGTCTGCAGAGTCTCTATTTGCCATGAATCCAACCTGCTCTGGTGAAATAATTTTAGGAAGTATAGGTTTCAGTCTTGTAACCAACACCTTTGTACAAACCTTGTTAATGAAGTTAGACAAACAAATAGGTCTAAAATCACTAAAGGTAGAAGGACAATCAGATTTAGGAATAAGAACAAGCAAGGCACTAGCCATTCCTTTAGGAATAGGTAGGCCCATGAAGAACTCCTGAACTGCCATAAGCACATCCTTACCAACAATACTCCAGCATTTCTTAAAAAATTTTCCATGAAACCCATCTGGACCTGGAGCACTATTATGATTCAGATCCCACACAGCTTGTTTAACCTCTTCCATATCTGGGAGTTTAATGAGAGTATTATTATCTTCTTGAGTGATCAAACTGGGAATAAAGTCAAGGATATTATTATTATCAGTTTGCACTGCTGTGTACAGGTCTGAGAAGAAATCCACTGCCACCTCACCAATCTTGGATAGGGAGTTAAATTCCTGACCTACCTGATTCTTAATAGAGGTAATGGATTGCTTTCTTTTCCTCACTTGAACAAGAGTGAAAGAAGCTGGTATTGCTGTCCCCATCCTTGATCCACTTAACATGTGCCTTCTGCTTCCAAAATTTTTTCTCCAGCTTGTACTTTTGATTGAGTAGCCCTTTTTTATAAAACCAGTCTTCTCTTTGAAGTTCCCCAGGATTTTCCTCATAAGCAAGTTCAGCTTTTAACACCTCTTCCTCACAATGCTTAACTGTTTCAAAAATATTACCAAAATGCTCTTTGTTCCAGACTTTCAGAGTCTTTTTAAGATTCTGTAATTTAAGAACCAGACCCCTCATCCCCCCTTGAGAACCACCAGAATTCCAGGTAGAAGAAACCACTTCCAAAAAATTCCCACTACTGAACCACATATTCTGAAACTTGAAGCTTTTAGGCCCTAAAAACCCTATGTTAGAGCCTTGAACAAGGATGGGGCTGTGATCAGAGGGAGATTTATGCAAAATAGAGACTTGAATATTGTCAAAAGTATCCAAAAATGCTTTATTGAATAGGACTCTGTCTAATCTTCTCCAAACTTTCCCATTTGATCTGTTACCAGTCCAGGTATATTTGGGGCCAGTAAAAGGTAGATCAATCAAGTTGCAAGCAGCAATGCAATCAGAGAATTCATTAACTCCATGCAGGAGAGGTAGAGCAGTGCCTTTATGTTCACTATAGGAAGCAATGGCATTAAAGTCACCCCCAACCATCCAGGGTTCCTTTAAGCCCACTGAAATAGATAGAAGACCAGCCCATAACTCTCTTCTGTGAACATAAGTGTGTCTGCCATAGACCCCAGTCACCCAACCATTAAAAAGGAATCCAGAGACTTTAAAATGCACAAATTGACTATGCCAGATGATATTAGAGATGCCAACGTAAGAGGAATCCCAAAATAACCAAATCTTATTAATGTCAGAAAAAACAGCTTGATCGAAACCAATGGCCTCCTTGTACATGTCAATTTTAGTACTAGCAACAATTGGTTCAATAAGAACAAGTAAACGCACCCTCCATTGGTGAACTAGGGAATAAAGTCTAGAACTGGAGGATTCTAGACCCCTAGCATTCCAAAATAAGCAGTTCATTGAGAGACTAAAGGGTTAGAGGCACCCTTAGCCACACTCCTAGTGTTTCTTTTCTGTAGATTTTCTGTGGTTTGCTTTTTACCCTGTCGTCTGGTAACCTTGCTGCAGCCTTCCTCAGCAATAGGGTCCGCAACTGTATTAATTGCCTTATGCATATCTTGGTCTGGGACAACATGATTCTGTATTTGAATGTTTGATAATTCTTCTGTCCTTTCAATTGTCTCAATTAGCTGAACTTGTTGAACAGGTTGCTCTTTGGATTTTTGATTGACAAGCCATTCCACACCTGCGCAAATTTGAGGCCAATTGTCCAAAAGAAATTCAGGGTGAACAGGCTGATCCTCTTCTCCATCTGAGTAACATTCTCTTATCATTCCTGAAGATTTAGCTTGTGTAAGGCCAATCAATTTCTGAGTGTAAGTATCATCATGAACACCAGATATTTCCTTAGGGTCTGCATTGAGTATTCCTGGGACTTCGGCCTCTAAAAGAGTTTTGATGTTGTTATTCTCTCCTGCAGGCTGCTCCATGGAATCAAGAAACACCTCTTCCACATCAGTTTCATCCTCAGAGTTAACCTCCTCCTGAGAGATTTTGGAAGTAGATTGTTTGTAACCTTGTTCATCAAATGTAATTTTCTCTTTTCCTTTTTCTGAACTTGTGAGCTTTGGGGCAGCAGAGTCTTTTTTCTGAACCCATTTCTCCTTAGGAAGTGTTATGGATTGGACAATCTGCCTCTTAGGACACTTGCCCTGAGAGTGACCTAGGTGCAGGCAGGCAGTACAATACTCGGGCCTGTTTTCATAGATTATTGGCTGAAAGAAACCAAATTTTCCACTGTTAATCCAGATTTTCGTAGGCATCTCCTTAGTAAGGTCCAGTTCCACATAAACTCTAGCCAATGCCGGTCTAGACAAATTAGCCGTAGCATTATCAATTTTAAGTGGGTTTCCAATTAAGCTGGCAATCTCAAAAAGGGCAGATTTGTCTTGCAAGTGAAGAGGAAGCCCTTCCAGAGCTAACCACACCGGGACCACCGGAGATTCGACATTAGGTCGGAACTCCGGCGTCCATTTAGAAACACGCATCACATAGCCCTTAATAACCCAAGATGGCCTATTCCAACATCTAAGGAAATCCTCCTCCAAATCAAAACGAATTGCAATATGTTTGGGATCCAGTGTTCCCAAATGAAACTTGCCTTTGAAGCCAATGATTTCAAAAGATTTACGGATAACCGTAAGATTAGGTTTACCTTTGAAGAAGTAACCTATCAGCACCCTCTTATGCTTATCTGCCAATTTGTCAACATCCCTTTCAGCAAAATCAATTGACGGCACACCTATGAATCTCGATTTCTCAGTCTTCAAAACCGATCGGTTGGCCACCACATCCGCAAACGATTTCCGGCCCCAAACTCCGCCACCGCCATCAGGCGGTTCCGCCATCGCCGAAGGTTTTACCCATCAATATTAATCTATTTAATACGGAGTATCTAACAAGAAAAGGTTTGAGGAATAGTACTCCCGCTCAAAATATCTCACACCTAATACATTCCACCATTCCTATACACACTTATATAGGTAGTATTTACATAGACTAAATAGTAAATCAAACAGCCTCTTCAAACCAGAACCATCGAGTAAAATTACAGTAACACGGAGTATATTATATGATGGGCTTCCTCAATATAAGATTTTGTCGTACTCCCCTCTGTGATTGCAGCAGGCTCCACCTATGTACCTGTGTTATTTCTATGGCCTGAACACACACTTATATATTAAATAATTGAATTAAATCACATTTGTGTGCTCCCCCATACACCAACACCAAAACAATTAATGTTTTCACTATTTGTGAATTTATTTATTTAATTGCAACATTATAGATTTAAATGTACAAATTGTAATTCACTGTTTTGTAAAAGGCTAGGCTACATGTCATGATGTCAATTCACACACAAAAAGGTACTCCATCCGTCCCGGGTAAATGATCCCATTCAGTTTAGGACGTTTGAATGATCGTAAAATTAATTATTAATTGACCCCTGTCAATGATAAAGTCATTTTAAGTATATAAAAATTACATATTTAAAAAACTACATAAAAAGTTTTATAAAATCACAAAAAAACTCAAATTTGATAAAAGTTGGATATATAAAGTACAAAATTAAGAGCACTTTAAGTTGATTGGAGAATAATGGATGAAAACTTTTATGTGGGACGGAGGTAGCACTTATTAAAATATTGGGCAATTCTTATCTCACGCAAGCATATTTGTTCAGTTTGCTATAAAAAGATGACCCATAATTCATAGTTCTCCTAAATCAAACGATTCTTATTGATTTTAGTGTTTTTCTCAGCTTACAAACATCTTTCTGCAAAAATGTTGGGCATGTGGTCGTTGGTAATTGGTAAAAGACTAAAACCAAAAAAAGAATGAATGGGCATTCATGGTTAGAGCTGTAAGAGTGTACTATTTCAAGAATCCCTTTAATGCATATTTCAAGATGAAGAGGAATATTGCTGTCAAGTTTTTAATCTTAGAATCTACCTTTATTACAATTCTAACTCATTGTTTTTCACTCCAAAGGGGATAAAAATCCTGCCCAAGTGCCTCCGATGTTCATGGTAAAGTTTCTTCCTTTGTTCAAAGAAGGCCATGTATAAGCTATAAAAAAATGTTGTGAAGGAAACTACATGTCTTTCAAAACACTGAAATTTTTTTTTAAGCTCGAGTTCTTCAACAAGACAGAAGCTTTTGAAGTATTTAATATTGAATCCTCGATTAAGACCTTCAACAGTTCAACCTCACTTTGTCTGATTCTCTTCAAGCAGAAGAACTAATACATGAAAAAGCAGAAATAGATATTTCCAAAAACTTATACAAACCAGTTCTTTATGTGAGAACCACTCTGCCCAACAATATTAATCCTGATATCATTGACAAACTTCTGTGCAAAAAAGTCCTAAAACAGTGATAGAAAACGAACGATCATTAATGTTAATGGAGATTTATTTTGCTGATATGGACTTTCATTATTTTCTAGAAGAAATGTAGTTTCCTGCACACTATGGGGGATCCTGCTACAAGCCTACAACAGTTCTTGACATACAAAGAGAATGACCCTGCACCAATCATCATCATTTTATAGTGTTGTAGTGCCAAGAAATATAAGGTAAAATTTATTAGTTATTGCACTTCCATGACATGGTTATGATGATAAGCAAATTTGAATTACTTAAATTCACATTAAAATCTGTTTCCCCAGGTTCCGTTTTATGTATCAAGCATTTTTAATGTAACCAAAACGATTCTCAATGGTGATGAAGATGAAGTCAGAGATTTCAGGTTAATTAAGGTATGACACACAGAAAATAATTTTTCATGAGTATTAAAAATAAACCAATGACTAAAATTACAAAGTAAAAAGTAATGTAGGCATGTAGCAGCTAGGCAGCACCACAGCAAGCACGTGAAACAGCAGATGACGAAAATTGATATACAAGTAATTTTAATTGAAGACATAAATTGAAGTTTGAGGCCTAAGAAGTTTAAAGTTTGGGAGCAGTTGAACAATACTTACTGAGTTGAAGATTTAAAGTTTGGGGCCTAGCAGACGGCCAGCTACGGACGCCGGGCCTGAAAGCTGCAGTAGACAGAGAGCCGCGGGAGGTGCGCGCGGCAGAGGACTTCTGTGTTTGTTTACAGAGATGGGCGGGCTTTCAGCTTGAGAGCAACCGGAACGATGATGAATCATTGAGCAACCGAAGCTTGTCGATTGTAAGGAATAAGGATATGGGATAGGTGCGTGGAGCTTGCTAGACAAGCTTCTACATATACGGAGTACTACTTAATAAATCATTTTTGATCTTTTACTCCTATTCTTTACTATTTACATGATCAGTTTAAATTATTTTTAATCTTTTATTTTATATGTCAAATTTTATCAAATTTACATTTGTTTTATCAGTCTTTATAGTGTTTTAATATATTTCCTGAATATGTAAATTTTATTTACTAAAAATAATCAAAGTGTGAATAAGAATTAAGTTATTTTATCGTCAGTCAGCCTAGTAAACCATAAACGGGAACCTTCTAACATCACAAAAGGAGATTTTTCTGTCTGTCCCAAAATAGTGTGTACAAAAAGTATTTTTGAGGTGCACAAATCTAAGTGAACTAGATGTGGAATGTGGAAGTACAAATATACGGAGTACTTCTCAACTTTAAAAAGTGGAAAAATAGTCATAGTTTAGTTATAAAGTAGCAAATTTATTCTTATTAACTGTAAATAAATAAAATAAATTTTAAAACGTATATTTAAGTTCAAAAACTTATTATTTTCCCTTGTAAATGAAGTAATTCAAATTCATAAATATTAGTTTTAGTTTTGTTATGAATTCTCGAACACATTATTTCCTTTTTTTGAAATTAATTCTTTGATTTTTTAAACTTAATAAAATTAAATTCACTATTTGATCATCTTAAACTATTTATCATCACACAAAATATGTTATTTCATAGTGCATAGAATACAAAAAATTAATTTCGTAAACTTTCTCTCTCTAAGAGAGAAACCCTAGCATAGCAGCGGCCGTCTTTCCTAGATTTAGGGGTCGTTTTTTCCGCTTTCGTCTTCAACGAAATGCGACTTTTCTTGTACGGCTTTCTTCTGCCATTCGTGAGGTTTTCTTCTTCGGCAGGTCACAACGCCTATATGGCGGACAAAGGTTGTGCTTCCCTAGCAGTAGGTGGAGAGTTTTGAGGATGTCGTTCATGGTTGAGATCAGAAGGTCATGGACGAAGCGTGGGGCAAGGGGTTGGAACAGATATGGAATCGAGGTCATCCGTGTTAGGTGGTGACAGAGGAAGCTTGGTAGAGAATATGATGAATAAGAGGCAAGGAGAGAAAGAAGATACAGTACTGCTAGACCGTCCCTCTCGTGCACCGCCGTCATGGAGTGCAAGAGAGTCTAAGGTTTGGAAGCAACATTTTAATTTTACTGTTTGCTTGGTATTTTTTTCATGATCAGTCTGTTTATTTTTTTATCGGTTACTATTATTGTTGTAAGACTCTTGCATAAGGCTTGGGTGACTGCTTTAACCGTCGTTGGCTCATTTTTGCTCATTATAGGATTATCAAGTCATATCGCTCTTTTGAAGGTGATTGAATCTAAGTCTGGTTTGAGGGTTGGTGGTTGTCTGTGGTCCTTTTGTTGTTTTACTCCCTATTTGAATGTTGTGATATCAATTTAAGCCTCACTCTTCCAAAAAAACACTATTCCGAAAGAATCATAATACTCCATGCGTCCTACCTGTTCTCACGCGGTTTATGATGTTTGACTGACCATTAAGTTAATTGATCCCTGTAATTAATAGGATTATTTTTAGTACATAAAATTTACATATTCAGAAACTACATTAAAAGTTTTATAATACCTGATCAAGAAAAAATAAATTTGATAAAAGTAAGAGATTAAGAACAATGCACGTTGACCAGGGAATAGTGGATGGGAACCTTTAAATGGAATGGAGGGATGACGTGCACTTTGTCGTGAGTGCACTCAAAATAAATTCAACACTAACACTTATACGTAGTATAGGTGAAGTAGAGTTCGTATCCACAGGGAAAGGAATAACTTTCTTTTTATATAAATAGTAAGTAAAGGGGGGTTTTGATTGTTGAGTGATTTAATTAAATTTAAACACGAAGATGAACGATTTATATGAGATTTAATTCAAAGATAAAATTGACTTGGTATTGCTACTTTCCACTTGTTGATATATTTTAGTCGATCATTGTTATATCTATAACTTATCTCCTCTCGAATACTCAATCGAGGAGTATATCCAATTCATCGAGGATAGTTATTAACAACGACCGTTCATTAATAACCCTTACTATTAGTCAAGTATAGAACAACGCCATATACCGACTTGATAGTAGCATTTAATCTTTTAACTCCTTGATGAAATCAATTGAGATTGATAACCTTAACACAACGGTTTCGGTTTAACCAAGAAAATTAATCCCTCTTAAGTCTATTAATCACGACCGTGCATTAATAAACCGAAGTTACTTACTTGTGAAACTATCAACGATTAACCATCGGTTCGTTGATCATTTCTAGTAGTAATTAATATATGAAACAAAACTAGTTGATCCTTTAAGTAATGTTCAAAATATTAATATGAAATATGCATAGGAATTAATTAATACTCAAGGAAGAATATTAAAGGGAATGAATCCTACTATAGTTAAATATCAAGATGTTAACTAATTGTCATCTTAGTAACACTCCCCGATATTAACATAGAGGAAGGAATAGCTATTACTAAAACCAATGTCAAGATGTTAACTAATTGTCATCTTAGTAACACTCCCCAACATTGATATAGAAATAGTATTTAAAGGAAGAATTAATATTCAAGGCAAAGAAGTTAAGAAAATAACTCACAACTTTAATAATCAACAAGCTTCAAGAGCAATATCAAGATATGGAAGTTTAGCTCCTCATTTGGAGACTAAACATGCTAAAAGAAATATAGAGAATTGCTATTCTAAACTGAGCTTAAGAGTATATAGGAATTGGTTTTCTATTGTGAAGGAAAGGGGGTGTATTTATAGGCTTTTTGGGAGTGCAGCTCGGGTACTCGATCGAGTATAGATAGATACTCGATCGAGTATGTGCAGAATGATGTTTTTGAGCTATACTCGACCGAATTCAGGTTCAAATTCATATGTATACTCGATCGGGTATGTCGGTGTACCCGATCGAGTATGACAATAAAACGTGGCCAAATCTTTCCTTGCATGTTCCTTTGCCCCCGGATCGGATCCGATTTGAAATTTCAACAAGATACTCGATCGAGTATATACAGATACTCGATCGAGTATAGACCAAAAATCAGGATCTTCCCTTTTGTCTTGTGACTTTGCACTTTCCTTCCACTTTTGGGGTTCACCAACCGTCCTTTGAGTGATAGTAGACCTGTTTGAGCTCAGAATAAACCTAATCTAAACAATTTACAAGAATTCAACAAACTAAACTATTACACCAAAAGTGTGTAATTTCCGAAATACTAAACAACCAAAACTAGCTAAAAACGTAAACATACATACGGAAATTACAAGTGTATCAACTCCCCCACACTTAGTTCTTTACTCGACCTCGAGTAAAACAGAAACATCCAACCGGTTTAAGAGTTTTCCAAAAGTTCAAGAAAGAAGGAAACTAAGACCACCAAGGGGAAAAATGAGTTTTTACAACAACATTCTTTCTTGGGTTTAATGATCTTCTATGCTCCATCTTCTTGCCTTTTTTTTTTCTTTTTCTTCTCTTCTTCCTCTTTTTCTCCAAAGAGATTAAATGAGTGCATGCAAAAATAAATATTTCTCTCGTATCTCTCATTTTGCCTAGGAGCCTTTTCAGGTTTTCATCCTAGCATCTCTTTTCATTTTCCATTCTCCCAACTCACTCATCATTTTTCACAAGCCTTTTTTTGCTTAGATTGCCCATTTTGTTGGGTTTTCAACCTAACTAGCATTTTTTTTCTTCAATTTTTTTTTGTTGTTTTTTTTTCTTTAAAGAAGTTCATGCATAGTAAAAGGTAAAAATAAGATTACACACCCATGATGAGTCTCCTCCCCCACACTTAGTTCAAGCACTGTCCCTAGTGCCCAATTTCGGCTTTTGTTGTTTGTGGAGTAAGGTGATTTTGATTTTTGGTGGGTTGTGGGTGTTTTGGTGGAGAAATGATGGAGATATGGTAGAGGGAAGGTAGAAAAAATGGAGTTTTGGGGAGAAGGGGTCGAGGTTGGTATGGGTGTTTGGAGAAGATGAAGTGTTTTGGGGTGTGTTTTGGGGTTAAGTCGCAGATGTACCCGATCAGGTACTCAACACAGGGGTTCGAGTATGAAGTTTTCCAGTAATACCCGATCGAATATGGCTTAATACTCGATCGGGCCTTCAAGACAGGGTCTGGTAGGTTGATTTTCCAGACATACTCGACCGAGTATATGTCCATACTCGATCGAGTGCTGGAAACAGGCTTCTTTTGGATTTGCCTTTCTGGACATACTCGACCGAGTATTAACTGATACTCGATCGCGTATGCCTCCAATGTTTAAAATACTGGCCATTTCGCTCGAGTATGGAACTCGGGTTCTCCCTATTTTTACCCATACCCGACCGAGTATGGAAGATTACGCGATCGGGTATGTCCCCAGATACACTTTTTTATTTATTTTTTTTTTTTTTTTTACACACGCACACATACTGAAATAAACATGAAAACAAAACATACCTTGCTTGGGTTGCCTCCCAATAAGCGCCTTATTTAACGTCGTGGCACGACGCTATCATTGTGTTCAGTCATTCAAACTTGGATCGTGATAGTTTATCTTCTTCATACGTTCACTCCTAGGACTTCCATAGAAATGCTCAATTTCTCGACTCTTCACTTTATAAATCTTTCCAGGATCAAATACCCAGATTTTCATTAATTCGTGTGGTGAGAGTGAGGGAGAGAATTTATCGTTTAACATGGTCAATGGAAAATGTTTCGATCCCTCAATTTCTCCGAGGATTTCAAAAATGTCACTCTCCTTTTCAATTTTATGAGTTTCCCTCAAAGTTTTTAGAATTGATGGGGGTACCTCAAAGAATGATAAGGATAGATATTTGACCTTGAAACTCGGTTCATCCTCTTCCTTGACCAGCTGGAGCTCCATGTCTCTTTCCTCTTCTACTTCTTTTGGATTCTGAATCTCCTTTTGCGTTTCCTTTTCATTTGTCAA